AATTTTAATAAATAAATAAACCTCTAGTCCTCGGTTCTTTAATTGACTCGTGGCAGTTTTACATTCTCGAGCATAGAAAAGTACTTTCCATCATGTGCTACCTGATCCTTTCCATTGGCTGTACTGGGAACTGGACCTTGGGAATGCTGATGGCAAAGTCCATAACTGTATAACAAACCCAGAGCTTTGCAGGGTTTGCACACTGGGCCCCTGGGACTAGCAGGGATGGTGACATCATCGGCCACTACTCCGCCCCACAAGCTCCCAAATTCCCTCTGAACTCTGCTATCCTTGCCATAGGTGGGGGCGCTCCCTGCTACATCACCCATGCTTGAAGCTGTCATCATGATTACCTTTCAGAAGCTGCCCTGTTTGATGGAACTGCTTGTAAATAAATACTGATTTATTTGCAGTCACTTTGCAATCCTCTTCTTTGTTCTGGAGCTGTGTTTGCTTGGGGATTGCTATTTTGGATGGTTTTAAAAGGACATATGTGAGCCACCTCAAGACTCTCTAAAATGTCAGGAAACTGGGATTATAAATTCCAAAATCTCGAAAATCGATCCATCAGATTCACCAGGGTGGTTGATGAATGTGGTCTCAATGGAGCAATGTTTGGGACGCTAAGTGTTTAGCTGTTCCCCTGATGCCCACCCCCCCCCTTTCTTGAGCCTGACTCGCTGTACCTCCCTCTCTCCCCACTCCCCTCTAGCTGAGTTCTTTTTCGAGTAAGGCCGAGGTTGAGATTTGAAGACGTTTATGCCACAGCTCTGGAATTTGGCAGCGGGCCCTGAGGGGTCAGGTGACGCCTTCTCAGTGTCCCCTTTGCCGGGTCTTTAAAGCGACTGGGCCAAGAGCATTCTCCAGGGAGAACCCAAACGCGGACGGGGCACAGCATATCTCTCGACCCAGTGGTTTTAGCCATGCCAGAACCTGCCAAACCTGGTAAGTTCTCAGGGTCATCGAGGGCATCTGGGCTGAGATGCTAAGGAAAACTCCACCTTTTAAAAAGGGGCAGGAAGAAAAAGCGACACATTGGGCCTGGGATGGTGGTGATGGCTGCAAAGTCTGGGCTTGCACCCCTCCATCTTGCTGCGCTGTGGGAAGTGACAGGATGGCTTTGCTCCTGGATTCCCCATCACACTGTTTTGGGGGTTTGGCTGCTTGCGGGCAAAAGTCTGCCACGTATAGGTGCTTTAGTGTGAGGCATCTCTTTGGCGCTGTTTGTTAGCATGTAGAACAGGGAGGGCTTTGAGATCTGAAGATGGCACAAAGTCCTTCTCAGTCTGCTTCAGAAAGCGGCTGGAAACAGGAACTCCAGTCCTCCAGAGCAGCTTTTTCGTGAGAAGGGGTGTCAGGGGACAAATGAAGATGGACTGGGGTGTGTTCGAAGGAGTCCAAATGTGAGGGCTGCACATCTCAAAGCTGCCTAATACGTGTCGCTCTGTTGCCGCCATAAATCAGGGAAGAGGCACCTGCTATATTCTAAGCCTGAGGTTGCGACATCCTATTTGCAACGAATATCGGAAGGTTGTTGCCAGTTAGGATGTGCCTTCAAAATAAGAAGTAACAATCTGTTTCTCTTTCCCAGCTTGCAGTCTCCCCTGCAAGCGTAATGCAGTGGCTAGTTGAGCAATTGGGAACTAGGTTCAAATCCTGGTTCACCCAAGGCTGACTTAAGGACAATCACTATTTCTCTGGCTAACCTACCTCAAAAGGGTGTTCTGGGGATAAAATGAGGGGAAAGCTTTTTACTTTTGGGGGGGAGGCAATGTGAGCTCTTTAGAGGAAAAGTGGAATTAAACAAACTAATTAATTCAACTGTCCAGCCTCCTCTTATAGGACATATTCCACCAATTTCACAGTACTGCCTTCCTGCCCCACAATATACTAACTTCCAGGATCATCTCTGAAAGCGAGAGAGCTCAGCTAGAGTTCAGCTGCATTTGTTCATCCTCAAAATCTGCTTTTTCCACGAACGAGTAGACTCTATCCCTGCTGGAAAAGAGACCTAAGTATGTATAACTGCATCTGTCCTTTGTAACCAGAGGTGCTTCTTGGCCTAATCTCATGGGCCCCAAGTATATTTTCCAGAGCTCTGAGTGTCTGTTGGTGCCAATAAACGGGTTTTCTTTAGCTTCACTACCACAAAGGGGACAGTTGGGGGGGGGGGGTTGCAGTTGGGGAGGGAAGGGTTAACTCCTCCCCTCATTTGCTGCAGCTCTCTCCCAATCCCCACATGGCAGTTAAAAAAAAACCCTTTCATTGATGCCAATGGAAAGATCAACCCCAAATCTTTTAAGTGCCTACTAATGCCCCTGTTTATAACTTTCCTCTCCCTTCCCTTTCTTCTTCTCTTGCTGTTGACATTTAGATTGTAAGCTCCTAGGGACAAAGACCTTCTCCTTAGTATCTATTTTTAAAGTCTGAAATGCTATTTTTTGCACTGGATTAAAATTTACTTTCAATAAAATTGCAAATCAAAGCTGATACCTGTAATAATAAGCAAAGAGAACATTGCAGTTTGGTGACTGAGTCTTCCAGACAAAGATTTTAATTGAAATGCACAGTCATAATGGCACGCCAAGTGTTGTTGGACTACAACTCCCATCATCCCTATCCATTGGCCATGATGTCCAGGGCCACTGGTAGTTACGATCTAATAATTTCTAGAGGGGGCACCAGTTCCTCGCCTTTGCTTTGGAACCATGGATATTCTTGAAGCTGGTGTATCCACAGCCTTTATGCTTAGCTTATGAGAGTTGCAGAGTTCCCATCAGGCACTGAGAACAATGCCAGATTGGATGGACCCCTGCTCTGATCCAGCAAGATGATTCTGGCTTTTTTATGGGTTGCACACCTCCTGGTGAGTACATCCCTATTTTCTCTAGAATGCATATTTATCATCAAATGCATACTTTAGAGCAATCTATTCACTGTTGTACAGGGTTTGGAAAATGGCTTTTGGACTACAACTCCCAGCATCCCTGGACCATTGGGCATTCTGACTACAGCTGATGGGTATTGTGGTCTAACAACCTCAGTTCCCTTACCCCTGCCTTAGCGCGTCTCTGTTCTTGTTCCCGCATCAACATCCCCTCTCCCCATTTCTCTGATATTATTTGGTAGAGCACATGTTGTATATTGAACTGATGGTAATACACTAATCATAAATAACGTGAAATCCAAACATCGCCCAGAGATGCATTTTGAACTGGATTGGAGAAATATCAAGGCGAGGGGAAATTGCCTTCTTGTCCCTGCCCCCAATCAGCAGATGGTCACATCACTTATGACAACTGATACTCCTTTGCCTGGATATATACTCTGATCCTGTGTTCACAGCTAATAAATCATCTCTCCTATCTGTATATAAAGGTGCTTAGACATTGCTCCATCTCTGACATCTTAATTACTAGAAAAGTCTGGCTGCAGGAAATTTTTAATCTAGTGGTCAAAATGTGCAAAGCGAAGTCTCTTCTCATAACAGCAGCTGGTGCTCCTGTGTTCATCCCTAGCGGAACCACATCTGCAGTCCCACCCCAGGGGCTGCGCTGTGAGTCTGTCCTTCACACACTTCAACTTCCCTCAACTTGGGGCAAACAAGCCGTGTTTACCAGGATAATAACCTAATTGAAAACGACTTGCAGTGCAAGTCTCTGCCGTGTCTACTCAGAAGTAAGATCTGAGTTCAGGGAGCCTTGTTCCCAAGGATGTGTGTGTTACAGAGATGGGGGAAACATTTTCCTATAAAGGGCTGCTTCATAATGAGGGAAGACAAAATGAGAGGCAAAAGTGGTGAGAACCAGAATCAAAAGTAGGCACAGTCTGTAGCACTGCAGAATGCAAGAACAGGGAATTTATGGCTCTCCAAATGCGATTGGGCTGTAACTCCCATCAACACTAGCAAGTATAAGTGAAGAATGCCACATGTTCCCGATTCCTGGTTAGCTCTTCTACTTTCTGTGCCACGCCATTCTTTCTCAGCCTCTTGCATGCACAGACAAAGAGAGAGTGAGAGAGAGGGAGGGAGGGAGGGAGGGAGCAGAAGATGTAACAATTCTCTGAGGAGTGGCCTGGAGGCTGCAACATCAGCTGAAGGATTTTGATGGCTACATGATATTAATCCAAAGGCCTCTTGGGCCTGAAGTTCCTTCACCAGATGTATAGGACTGCAGCCTCACCACAAACCAATGTATATTTACATTGGCAATTTCTACTGCACTGCTGAATTCAATAGGTCTTTTTCCCAGGTGCAGTTGCATTCCATTAATTACTTGTATGAATTTAATTGGCTAATGAATCAATCTGTCCATTGGATTTGCATATAGTTTTTATTTTTATGCAATACACTTATACGTTTAGTGAGAATAAACTTAGAAGCATCCTCTTGTAATGATGGGGTGACTTTTTGAGTTTATCAAATGGTTTTTAATCAGTTGAGGATACAAGCAGATCCTGTTTAGACAAAAAATCATGCAAAAGATTGCTTCCTGAGTAATTTGGTTAGTTTCAAAGCCCAAGCATTTTCCAGTTTATGTATGCAATACAAAATCACCCAGGATACATAAAAACTGGAGAAACTGTAGATGATGGAGGGTGTATGTGTGAAGGGACATGACAGGGGTAAATGAAATTGTGCATGGTGTGGAGCAAATGGGTAGAATGCTAGAACTTGGGGTCATGATGAGGGATTCTTCATACAGTACATGGTTGAACTACAAAATTCACTGCCACAAGATGTAGCTGGAGCCAGAGGTGGACCGGAGGGGCTGCCCCCGCAAACTGCCTCATGTTTTCATCTTTTATTTTACACACACATGTTCAACAAGCAGTTTATAGTTTTGGCTTTAAAAGGCCTGCTAACCAGATGAACTGCCCCTCTACATTTTGGTGGTCTCTTCCAGAACTTTAAAGCAGTGTGTGGGCAGAGCAAAGCAATGAAGAGGAAGGGACAAATTCATGGAGTGAAAGGCCATAAATACCGGGTACCAGTCATGATGACTATATATGCTTTCCAGTGTTACTGGCACTGTGACTTCCAGTACCAGAAGAAAATGATGGAGACAAAAAGTAAGGGATGAGAGAAAGGACTGTGCTGGAAGTATTTATCTGTTCGTTTTACTTCCCCAACCTGGTCCTTTACAGATGTTGGTGGCTTAGAATTCCCATGAGGGAAGTTGTATTCCAACATACCTGGAGGGTACCAAGTTAGGGAAAACTGTTTATATCCTTTTAATTAAAATAATTTCAAAGTGGTTTGCATTGGAATAGACATGGGAAAATTCCCCCACTTGCAGCCCACTTTATTGGGTGGAGTGTTGTTGCCCCACCATGAGAGAACTTGCTTCTTTTCTCTTCCTTACTTCCAGAAAATAACAATCCCTATTAGCTGGGACAAAATGGCAATGTCCAGTTGCACAAAACTAAATGGCTGTCAGAGTGATGCATAAATTCTACTCCTTGTTCAGTTCCAGGACTGATGTCCTGCCTCTTTCTCACCTTGTTATATTAGCTACTAATGTTGGGGGGGGGGGGCAAGAAGAGAAGGCCAGGCCTACCCTGATGGTGCAAACTAACCAAGTGGTCACTTATGGTAGTGTTATTGTTAGACTCATGCTTAGTGTGATCTGGAAATTGTACCCTGCTATCATTTGAGACATGCCTGGGGCAGAGGTGGGCAGCAGATCGCTCTCCAGCTCATTCACACTAGACTGACATGGATATTGGACTCCCAATTGTTTCCGATTAGCAGCAACTGCTCAGCCTTCACAAATAACACTGATGAAGTGAAGAAAGCTTGAGATAATCAGGAGAGGAATGTTTCTGTGAAAGAAGAAGTAATGAAAACTTGTTTCTGGGTTCAGGGTTCTTTAATTCAAATATCACCTCTTTTGCATGAGGATCTAGTTGGTAAACCTTGAGGTTCCAGTAACAAAATTAAAACAAAATCAATCATACGAGCTTGATGCCTGGCTGCTCATTTTAAGGGATCACAGAAGGTACTTTTCCAATCCCTTGAGGCAGTGACTGAAGGTTTTGTAGCATGTGCCTTGGCTCACCAGCTCTTTTCAGGCATTGTCCTGTACTGCTATTTCCATTCTTTCCCCTGAGTCTATTGTAGTCTAATCACTGGAACAGTGGGCTGGATCTGATTACCTACGCTTTTTGCATTTTCCAGAGCTGCAACATGGCAGCCCATTACAGGATTGAGCATGAGTAGCTCTTGACACTCAGACCAAAATTGGGCTGGGTTTTAGAAAATGCCCTCTTGTGGGGGGTAGGGGTTGCTGGTCTGCAAGTGAGAAAGGAGAGCATGGGCTATGCGGAGGTGGTGGCGCCAGTGAGGAGGCTGTGGGAACGTGGCGCCAGGCCTGAGAGCCATTCTGTCAGTACCAGAAGGAGGGAAAGAGGACGGGATGGAACCAGCTTTTCCATGCCTCAGTGCCAGGGTCTTAGATGCAGGAGACATGTCGCTGTCACCTAGCAGGTGCAGGCAGCCCAGTGTAAAGGGACTGGCAGGTCTGCTGTGGGAGCACTAGGCTGAGGTGCTGGTGCTCTGCCGTCAGGGCCCTGGGACAGATGGGTGGGTGGGTGGGAGCAAGATGGCCAGTGTCAGAATCCTGGAATTTCAATTCATGAGGAGGAAATAAAACTTGGGTTCGTGGGACAGATCAAGCATTATGACCATCTGTGGCTTTATTGTTTGGCCCAGGTTCCCACGGTAGACTCACGATAATGCATTACTGTGCAAGCAGAAGTAAACTCGCTGCAAGGTTTCAGTACAACTACAGGGTATTTTATACCCTCCCGGTCATGGTCACGTACACAGGTACAGAGAGCAATTGATGACAGGAGGCATACATTACAATAAGATTTTGAGGTCATCACATACAGAACAGATAAAGGAAGATCAGCCAATCATACAGAGACAATGAGATTACAATATTTCTAATTGCAGTGTATTGACACTTTAGTTGAGTAACTTGAACCCGTCTCCAGCTCTACTCAGACATGTAAATTCAAGCTACTGAGAAACTATTCATGAACTCATCTAGACTCAGACCCTAAGTAATGCATCCGCACCATTCTGAATGGCCGGGCCCTCTGGGCTAGCAAAATAGATACTTCCTGGTAAACTGTGAATTCCAACAAGGATTATTTAGTCATTGTGAAGGTATATAATGTATATTTGGACTGAATGGCCTGTCTACTGTAGCTTACAGCTAAAGGTGAGAGAAAGGAGCGGGGAAGGAATGCCAATTTAAACAGTGACTTAGCTTGGAAAGCTGGTGCTTTTGAGAAGGAGTACAGGACTGATTCTACAACGGAAAAGCACACAGAAGCAATGTTTTTCTGCCAGGATTGATCCAAATTTTCCCAACACCAGTCAACTTACATTTGGAGCCTTTATGTCAGTTAGTGGAAGGGAATTTCTCTTCGTGTGCTTGTCCATGGGAGGGGTTTAACTCTATGAAATGCATTTATTTTATATGATGAAATTATTATCAATAATAGTTTATATTGCTTTCTTTTCAGCCATGCTGTCTGAGGCTGATAAGAGATATAATTCAAAACATTTGGAGTGCACCATGTTAGGGAAGGCTGCTGTAATAATATATTTGTAAAAATTGAAATAGAAAAGGCTTATAGATGCTAAATGTTCACTCTTCTCAAGGGAACCAACTCCTAGCACTGAGGAAATAGGAAGGACAGAACTCAGCCTTGTGAGTAAACCCAGAAAAGTTACTAGCCTGCAAGACGGCTTCTGTGTTCTACTAGTAGAGAGTAGAAAGCTAGTAGAAAGTTGCCTTCCTAGGGTGGGCATGGAGGAAGGGGCAGCCAGCAGCCAGCTTTGGCAGCCAACTTAGTTTTTTTGCTGGGCACAGAAAAGAGCTGAAAGTTTTCCTTACCTATAGCATCTAAACGAGTTCTTAAATACAAGGCTGTTAATCCCTTCATTCATTTAGTTATTCCACAACAGCTTGTAGTATTGCATGATTTTAAAAATGAAGAAAGTGTCTGTCCTTTAGGATAAAGAGTTACCTGAAAAACATAGGAATTCATCTGTGCAATCTGCTATCAACAGTTTAAAATGAGCCTCACTGGCATTTGTGATCTAGGCTTTGCACTACTGGCACTTTCTTGTCCTTACATTGTGAGCATTTAAAGGTATTTGTGTTGAAAACGTGACACATCCACCCCCTCTTAGAGTTATAAATTCTAGAGACCTGGGGAAGAAAGATGAACCTGGAGAAATGGCATCCATAGCAACTCACCCTAACACAATTCAAAGAAGGCATTTCTAAAAGGGAAGAATGGGGGCGGTGATTTACCAGGGACAAGTACCAGGGAAAAGATTCAGCTCATAATAAATAGGGAGGTTTCATGCACATTTCTTACTCGCTTCATCCAGCTGTTCCTCCATTTCATACCTACATATCTTTTCCCCCCACCCAGGGCAGGTGAGCTGCAAAAGTAGGCATGGGTGGGCGCCTGCCAAGAGCCCACACCTTGGTGGGACCCCCTGGAGTTACTTGTCCCCTCAGCCCTGCAATCGGCTTGTTGGCCTACCCCCCACAGGGGCCCCGCTGGTGGGGTTGTTGCGAAGGAGCAGCGCTGTGCCCTGCTTGCTCATGGGCTCTCTACCTACCAAGCGAGCTGCAGCAGTGATAAGAAAGGAGCTGAGGGGCAAAGGGAGCTGGTGGCCAGGTTGCCAAGAGGGTAGACCCACTGAAGAAGGGGTCCCATTGAGGGTATCTTCCCAAGGCCCCTCCACCCCCTGGAGCCGACACTTGAGGATGACCACATGCCCCACTGTACAGAGGACATTCCTCTGCTTGTATGGCTATCCAGTCCAGGTGAGAGTTAAACACAGGGAACTGTAGGAAGGGAGAGCAGGGTTGCCTTGAAATCGCCCATCGGCAACTAATACTCCGACAGCACATGGAGCGGGCTGGCACACTAGGTCCCTGCAGGGGATATAGGGTGGAGCTTCTTCCATGCGTGCATCAGGACCATGGCAGTATTTCTTCAAAATGCAGTATTTGCAAGGAGACACATGCAAATGAATATGGAGCAGTCTCCACTGTGTTTATAACGGGATTACATGCCACGCAAAATTACATAGTGTTCTAACTGCTCAAGAAGCGGGAAGAGATTTGAAAGATTGCAGAAGCATAGCTGTGTCAGGCTGTGATGCAGGTTTGTGGCACATGTTGCTTTGTGGAGTTTGTGTTGCCTTAGAGGTGGGAGAGACACTACCTCTGGTTTCTTTTAGTGAGGAAAGGTCAGCCTTGTAGATCAGTCCCTGGTCACAGTCGTCCCCAGGAGGATGAGATGTACTGGATTTCTATTTAGTGTATGGTCATTACTTCCAAACTTGCATCTCTCCCTATAGATCAGTGAATCCAAATGGCACGCCAGCCTCTGCCCTCTTTTGTCCTCCTCTCTTGCTGATGTGTAAGTCTCCATCTCCTCCTGACTGGGAACTCAGATGTCTTGTCCAACAGCTGCCCCTGATGAATCCCTCTAACTGGCAGAACCAAAAGGGGGTGTGTGGGACAATTATTCAGTGATTTTTCTTTAGGTGTGTTTTCCCAAATAGATTACAGTTCTATCCTTATCTCATTTTATGGCACTTTTGTTTACCAGAACTTTGTTAGGTAGGTTAGGTTGAGAGCTGACTTTCTTCAAGGTCACCCAATCTGCGGTGTGGAATCAACAGAGGTTTGGGTCTTCCAGCACCTCTCCCAGTGCTCTCACCAGGATGTTTTTCTTGCCAATATGTCCTAGTTTTAAGCCTAATGGGCACTGTTTAATTCAGCCTTCCCCAGTCTTATGCCTTCCAGATGTGTTGGACTATGGCTGATGTAATGCCTGACCATTGGTCAAGCTCGGAGGGCTTATGAGTGTTGTATTGTTTTTCAACACCATGTAGTCAATGGTGGACATTAATGGAAATATCAGCCTAATTGTCAAATATCATTACTGAAGGTCACATCCAGTTGAAAGACAGCATCAAGAAGGAACTGTTGTGTGGTTTGAATCTGGGCACAGAATGTAGTTTAAAT